GTTCACGTGAAACACAAACACACACACACCTGTGGTTTTCCGACAACGCTCATGCAGAAGGTATGATTTCCGAGGCTACATTGAACGCAGCAGTGTTGGAAACAAGCAGCCTGCGTTTCCACCTCCTCAACAGTGCGCGGCAGCAGCGAGGCGCCACTACTGACGGAAATTCCCACGAAGAAGAGACTGTCGGTTTTCATTCATGCTTATTAGAAGTTCTTGCTGAACACAGCAGGTAAGAAACATTACTAGTGTTTTTACTGTTTATCGGCTCTTCTCCTCTCTGGTATTCAGATGTGTCCATTTACGTTCATGGCCTTTAAACACCCTTGCGTTCGACCCGCACAGTTTCACTAACAGTTCGTTAGCTTGTCTGTTAGCATAAACACAGAGTGAAGTTTTAAATAACTGAGCTTTTAGGGAGAAAATACTAAATATTTGCGGTGAAATGTAAAGTATGAGGACAAGTAATTTGGTGAAACTTGACATATCCTTTTCAGAGCTCGTCTGAAAATTCAAAATCCCCCCCCCCCACCCCTCCCTGTTTATTATTAAACGTGGTTGAAACTTACTCCCTTTTCATTTTAAACATGTGTAAACTTAAAGTCTTCTGTATTTTTCTTTTTTTACAGTATGGATCCGGTATATGGTCCACTGGGCCTGGGTGTAGTGGCTGGATTGAGCTGTGGACTCTTTTTTGGATGGCACCTTCGCTCCCGCTTTGGTCCCACATCCCAGAACCTGATGAAAGTGATGGGGAACGGCACCAAAGAAGCCACCGTGATGGGAGAGGGAGGCGAGTTCAAGATGGTCCTGGTGGTCCGAAACGACCTGAAAATGGGCAAAGGGAAGGTTGCCGCCCAGTGCTCCCATGCTGCTGTAGCTGCATATAGGCAGGTTCAGCGCAGGAACCCTGAGCTGCTCAAACAGTGGGAATACTGCGGCCAGCCCAAGGTGGTGGTGAAGGCCCCCGATGAAGACACCCTGATTGATCTGCTGGGCCATGCCAAAGAAGCGGGGCTCACAGTGAGCCTCATTCAGGATGCAGGAAGGACACAAATTGCACCCGGCTCCCGCACTGTGCTGGGAATCGGTCCAGGCCCAGCTGATCTGATTGACGATGTCACCGGAGAACTGAAACTCTATTAAGAGTTTCTACTTTCATGTGTAACAACAAAGAGACCGTTTTTGTTGGAACAATTCACAATACAAACCTGAACCGAAGTTTACTTTGAGTACATTTGCCTCACCTCCATGCATACGTGTATTCATTTATATGAAACAGTAAAAACAAATTGGTGAAAATCTAATT